AAAAAAAAAAAATTCAGAGCGGAAGCTATGCCTGCACCAAGTTCTTAATCACCAATCTGATGTTTTGGTAATGTGGAGCTGCAATATTTGTGTGCAGGAAGTGGATGATCCGACTATCAGAAGGTTCCTGCGTGCGCGCGATTTCGATATAAGTCAAGCATCTGCCATGCTCCTCAAGTACTTGAAATGGAGACGAACTTTTGTTCCCAACGGTTTCATTTCTGCTTCAGAGGTGCCAAACCAAAGTGCACAGAACAAGATGTTTTTACAGGGATCGGACAAGAAGGGACGTCCAATAGCGGTTGTCCTTGGCAATAGACACTTTCAAGACGGCCTTAAGGAATTCAAGCGTACCTTTTTTTCCTTCACACATTTTGTCAATTCTAAATGAGCAAATAAAAAGTCTTGCTGCAAAATCACTGGATCGTTTAAGAGATTTAAAGCTTGAAACCACTAATAAAACTACTAGTATATTTTCTAATGTTGTACAGGTTTTGTAGTTTATGGCCTCGACAAGACATGTGCAAGGTAATCTGCCGTTTTCACCCGAACTTCAATTTATATCGACTTTAATTTCAGCTAATTTTCCCCCGGAATTATAACGTGACGAAGCAGTAGACTGCAGACGATATGTTTTACGTGACGATTTTGAACATGATGTACCAGGATCCCACCAGGACAGGAGAAGTTTATTGCCATAGGAGACCTTGAAGGATGGGGATATTCAAACAGTGACATCCGAGGGTACCTTGGAGCTCTATCGATTTTGCAGGTGTCTGTTCTGCTCTACACCATTTTCATTTCTCTGTTACAAACAAGATAAACAAACAGTTTACCAAATAATTTTCAGAAAGCTTTTCTTTAACTGTTTACTAAATATTTGCAGGATTGCTATCCAGAACGACTAGGGAAGCTGTTTATCGTTCATGCGCCGCTGGTATTTATATCAGTTTGGAAAATCGTTTACCCTTTCATTGACAACAAAACTAAGAAGAAGGTAAAAGCGACTCACACTGATATAAAATTATAAATTAATAATGTGACTAGCCTATTATATAATAGTTAGTTATATATGCACCATATTGCTTCTCTGTGTGCAGATAGTATTTGTGGAGAACAAAATGCTGAAATCAACCCTGCTCGAAGAGATCGACGAAAGCCAACTTCCGGAGATATACGGAGGCCAACTACCGTTGGTTCCCATCTAGGAAGAGAGCAAAAAGCTCATATTTGTGCACAACTTGCAGCTGAATTGAAGTTATTATGCAGTCATTCACTATCTTGTACCATTTGTCCGTTTGTAAGACCATGAACTCATTTATCATTAAAAAAAAAAAGCTGAGAGAGTAGCAAGTAAACACCCAACTATATGAATGAATGATAAGTCCTTTTGGTGCTACAAGCAAAACGAAAACAAAACGATCCCTTTTTTTTATCTCTTTTTTTTTT